TGGAAGACCTGTATGACAAGAACTTCAAGTCTCTGAAGAAAACAATTGGAGAAGCTATCAGAACATGGAAAGATCTCCCATACTCATGGAACAATATGCATAACATAGTAAAATCTCCCCAAAACAATCTACAGATTCAAAGCAATTGCCATTTAAATCCCAACAAAATTTTTTATAGACTTTGAAAGAGCAATAGGTAACTACATAAAAAACTCACACTATCTAAAATAATCCTATACAATAAGAGAACTTCCAAAGGTATCACCATTCCTGTTTTCAAGCTCTATTACAGTGCTATAATAATAAAAATAATGTCATATTAACATAAAAACAGACAGGTGGATCAGTGGAATTGAATCAAAGTACAGAAGTAAATACACACATCTATAAACATCTGATTTTGATAAAGAAGACAAAATTATACAATGGAAAAAAGAAAACATCATTAATAAATGGTGATGCACAACTAGATATCATCATGTAGAAGAATGCAAATAGATCCATATATAACACCTCCAAAAAAGATCAACTGTATGTAGATAAAAGAACTCAATGGAAACCAAGACACAATGAAAGTGATAGAAGAGAAAGTAGGGAACAGCCTTGAACACATTGACATAGGAGAATACATCCTGAATAAACACCAATAGCACAAATACTAACACTGACAATTAATATCCATATCTGACAAAGGACTGATCACTAAAATGTAGAAAAACTCGAGAAACTAGACTTCAAAAACACAAAATAATCCAATTAAAATGGAACAAAGATCAAAAGAGAGAATTTTTAACAGTAGAATTTCAAATGGTCAAGAAACACTTAAATATTCAACTTCCTTATTCATCAGGGAAACGCAAATCAAAGTGACTCTGAGAGTCTATCTTATTCCTGTTTGATTGTCTAAGATTAAAAAAAACCACAAGTGACAGCTATTACTGAAAAGGATGTCGAGCAAGGAAAATACTCTTTTTTATGGACTTTTATTGAGCTCTACATTTTTCTCTGCTCCTCTCTCTGCCTCTCGCCTCCCCTTCAACCATCTCCCAAGGTCCCCATGCTTCCAATTTACTCAGGAGTTCTTGCATTTTTCTACTACCCATGTAGATTATGTCTATGTATGTCTCTCTTAAGATCCTCATTGTTGTCTATGTTGTCTGGGATTGTTATCTGTGGGCTCTCTTTGCTTTATGTTTAAAAACCACTTATGAGTGAGTACATGATAATTGTCTTTCTGGGTCTGGGTTATCTCATTCAAAATGATGTTTTTTAGCTCTATCTATTTGCCTGCAAAATTCAAAATTTGGTTATTTTTTTCTGTTGTGTAGTATTCCATTGTGTAAATGTACCACATTTTCCTTATCAATTCTTCAGTCGAAGGGCATTTAGGTTGTTTCCAGGTTCTGACTATGACAATGTTGCTATGAATATAGTTGAACACATGTCCTTGTGGCATGAATGAGCATCCTTTGGATATATACCCAAAAGTAGTATTACTGAATATTGAGGAAGGTTGTTTCCTAATTTTCTGAGAAATCACCACACTGACATCCAAAGGGGCTGTACAAATTTGCATTCCCACCAGCAATGCAAGAGTGTTCAAGGGGAATATTCTTATATTGCTGGTGGGAGTGCAGTATTGTACAGCCTCTTTGATAATCAATATGGTTGTTTCTCACAAAATTGGGTATCAATCTAACTCTACCTCAAGATCCAGATATACCAGTCTTAGTTGTTTACCCAAACATTGCTCAATATTATAAAAGAATACTTGCTCAGATATGCTAACAACAGCCTTATTTGTAATAACCCGAACACAGAAACAACCTAGATATTCCTCAGCTGAAGAATGAGTAAAGAAAATATGGTATGTTTACATAACAATAAAGTATTACTTGGCTGTTTAAAACAACGACATTGAATTTTCAAGCAAGTTATAGAAACAGTAAACATTATGCTGAGAGAGGCTACCTAGACCAAGAAAGATAAACATGGTATTCTTTACTTGCAAATGGATATTAACTGTAGAACAAGGGATAAATGTGCTAAAATCCTCAGACCCAGAGAGCATAGGTTTAAGTGTGATACTCAGATCTTCTTGGGAAAGCAAAATAGAAAACACCAAGATCACCTTGTGGGTGGTCCTGGAAATGGTGGGGATAGAAATAGGAGTGTTCGAGTTGAGGAGAGTATTGAAAGAGATGACTAGAAAGGGGTGCTTCTTAGAATCAGGTAGAAACCTGATTCAAAGGAAGTCCAATGGATCTACAAATATGACCCCAGCTAAAACTCCTAGCAATTGCAGACATGTAGCATGAACTGGCTATCTCCTGTGACCAACTGAACTTCAGGCAGAGGGACTGGGAGAACAATGCAATTACATAACCTTTGACTTACGGTTTGTCCTGCCTATGGCATGTGGCAGGTTAAGCTGTCACAGAGTTTGTGGGTCTATTGACTGGTCCAGTCTGATACCCATGCATGAGTATTCCCAACCCTGATACTAACTACTAGGAGTGAAAGCACTGAGGGTCTGGATGATGTAGACACTAGGATAGAACCAAATATGATTGAAATAAAATAATGAAGTGTGATCAAGCCTCTTCTATAGATATTTGGATGCTTTTCTAACAGCCAGGGTATGTAGTTTGTGGACCAGGGAACTTCTGGCCTTTCTATATTCCAGTACTAGATAGATTGAGTGCATCTTCCCTAGGCAGCCAGCAGCCACTTCTCTTTTCTGGGCTTATTGCTGGTCATTGCTGCTGTGTTCTTTCATTCCTCTATAAAGCAACAGCAAACTTCCTCCTCCTCTGTGGAGAACCTGACTGAGGAAGTGTTTCCACTTCCGACATTGTTTTCCACTGCATAAAGCCCTTCATAGTGAAGAATCAAAATAATTTTCTCCCTCAAGCCAAAAGAATTCTGCAGACCATCTCTTAGCATGTATCCACCACACATTTGCATTTATCAGTGTGGGTGTTGCAGGTAAGGGCCTTTGTCTCTGTAGTGTTGTTTCTCTAAAATGATCTCTACCATTGATTGGAAGTACAGTGTGTATTTTTTTAAGTTCCCTATCTTTAACTTTAGTTTCTGCTGTCTACAGCTAGACTCATTCCACAGTCATAGATAAGTTCTCCACCCATTCAATTTTTAGATTTACTACTTTCCTTTCTCTGCTCCTGTTTTCTCTTTTCTTCTCTACAATTATACTATCTCTTGTACTGAAATTGTGATGCCTTCCACAGTTGCCCATTTCAAAAGAAGAGTCCATTCCAAACTGTCCATTCCAAATTTATTCTCCCAGAGCCTCCAATATCATCTGCCCTACAGTCCTAAATACTACAGAACCTTGTCAGCAATCTGATGTCCAAAATAACTTTTAATAATAGTCTTACATTATTTATTTCCCAGAATTGTATATAAATAATACTTTTTACTATTTCTATATAGTCATCCAAGTCAGTCTCATGTACCAACCAAATAAAAGGTTCTACTGTCCAGGCATACTGTCCTGTGAGAGTCCATTCAAATCCCTGACACAGCAGCCATATTAGTTGTGTCTCTTTGCTCTATTAACATGAACAGTTCTCCAAGTTTTCACCCTCTATGCAGATCTTCAACTGATCTGTTTAGTTTTTCTTCACTGTCACAGTTTCAGCAGAAGACTTAATTGCACATAATGAATTACATGTTTTACCTTTCTAATTTCTTTATTTACATTATTGCCTCGATTTATTCTTAGTGTTTTCCTTGTTCTTCTCATGAGGAATCCATATTCTGTATCAGAGAGATGGGAAAGATGCCAGAAACAGGAAAATATATACTATAATGTTTTATAATCCCCAAAATAGAAAATTGCACAAAACTATAAAATTTTGAAGAAATTGGGTAAATAATTAATCCATATCTCTGACGTAGTCATTGTTTTCATTCTGTTAGTAAAATAAATCAGAAGACAAGTAAAAGCTTACTCAATTTTTTGACCTGTTTCCCTGCTCACTGCCATCCAATAAATGCTCTAATGAGATGCACATTGTATTTAATCACAACTTAGCTTTCTGATGTGAACTTAGTGTGTATACACACACACACACACACACACACACACACACACACACACACACA